TCAAATGATAATGACTTATCAAATGATATCTGAATTGTTTACAAGATTATTACAATTTTTACCACTGTCATTTACCTCTCATTTTTGTTAAACTATATATTTATTGCAAAACAAGCATTTTTCACTCCAAAACTAATAACAAGAAAATTGCTAAAATTCTGTTTTGTTAAGGGCAAAAATAATCAGTGAAAGAACTTACCCCTTCTGGAGACTGTATCATGTTGAAAAGCTCCTCTCTGAAAACCTCATTTGAAAAATATTGGTTCTTCAGCATCTCCCAGTTGATGGCACCACTCATCACTCCCTGGTAGTGGCAAATAAAGTTATTCATTAACATCTTGATCACGGCAAATCACATATGATACATATATAAAGTAGTATAAATGATCTCTATGCTTAGCCAACCTAGTTATTAAACCTGATTCACCTTCAAGACAAGACTTATTTCCTAATTCTATGCTTTGACATAAATATTATTTAGCAATTGTCATTTCATACAAATATTCAGTGAAACTTTGATGATTTAAAAACTTTGATAATTTTAAAAATTTAAAAATTTTACTCTACATTCATGTCCATTCCCCACACTCTTTTGAATGATAACTTCAAATTACCAGTAAGGATCTGTGGTTTGTTTCACTGTAAATACATAAATATATATAAAAACAGAATTTGGATATACATTCTGACATCATCTCATTAAAGTAAACTATCTAAATGCTTGAATATGGTCATACAGAACTTTTACAGATATTGATGAGGATATTGACAATATTTCACAGTTTGAGTGAATGTGACTTTTTTTCATTTCCTTAAAGTGAATATCACTGTCTTCCTATGCAGTAAAAGTCAAACCTTGTCCCATGCATGACATGAGTATCTTGGCATCAAGCCCATCATGCACAAGGTACCTGCGTGAAGCACTGAGAGGCAGTCGTCCACGAGAGACAAGGCACAACAGCCAGGGGTTTGTGCCAGGCGGTGGCAGCCGCAGATGCCATCTGTGGGATCATCTGACTCATTATTTTGTGGATACAACAGTTGGCTTCCTTTGCTTCCTAATGTAGAAGGGACCCAGCTACAAGATCTCCGAGATAAGTACCTGTGGAATACCTCTCACCTCACCCAACTTAAAACACTGACTACTTTAGGCAAAATACCAGACTTTAGGTGCAAAATATAAGCAACCCTCTCACCAATACTCTACAGTGTTATTACTATTAATCTCACTGCAATCATTTATTTCTGCTTTCATTCAACACATAACAAGCAAACCAACACAGTAAAAAAACAAACGAACTCTGTGGTTGAAATCAAACCCAAAGCCTGGTACTGTTGCCTTAATAGCCATGTGTTGGTCTTAATGTCTAGGGACTAACCTGGGTGAACACTCCTGATGCCGTACTCCAGGATAAGCAAGGAATCAACGGAAGAGGTTTGTGCCAATTGGTAGCTGCCAAAGATGCCATCTAGGAAGAGCAGTTGGATTACTAGCTGTCTTAACTTTACCTTCTAGTTTAGTAATTAATCTTTCTTTCTTCTTAAAAAAAAAAAAAAAAAGAAAAAAAAAAAAAAAAAAAAAAAAAAAAAAAAAATCTTTAATATCAACATCCTCCTCTACGTATGGTTCCTCACTGCATGCTAAATTATGCTGCAACACGAGCCCACTGCATTCATCTCTTATGCAGTGTAAAGTTCTCTTTCCCTTTTAATTATATTCTTCTATTGCTCTTTGCCTTACCACTTACTTCCTATGGGTTAATGATTAAATTAAAATAGAAGATAAAGAATGGCACTACGAGGCAAGAGGAAATAAAATTCAAATACATAGAGACAAGGAAGAAAGAGAAAAAAAAATAAGATGGAGATGGATAGATAAATAGATTGAGAGAGGGAGAGAGTGAGGAAGAGATTGAGAAAGGGGAAAAGAGAGAGAGCAAGAGAGAGAAAGAGAGAGAAGGAGTAGAAGAGGGAAAGGGAGAAGAAGATGGAGAGGGAGAGGGAGAGGGAGAGGGAGAGGGAGAGGGAGAGGGAGAGAGGGAGAGAGAGGGAAGGGGAGAGGAAGAAAGAAAAGGAAAGGAAAAACAAGTACACCTTCTTCAAATGATAAAAGCAGATGCTCAAGGAGGACCATATCCAGAGGAAGGAAATTTTCTGAAAGAAAGATGAAATCCCATCCCTGAGTGAAGCACAATTTTCCATTCACTTAGGAAAAGTTGGAGGAGATTCAAGAGAAAATCTGCCCAGCTGATTTTGTTCACTGCAGAGCCACACTATGATGGAAATTAATCCTTCTACCGTGATAAAACAATAGGATCTTTCGTAAAAGTCAGATGCATCATCGGCTGTACTTCAGGAAATAATATATAGATAAAAAACTCAATAAAACACAATATGATTACATAATTTCATCCAGCAAATTTACCTTTAGAAAAACATTTAAAAAGAATGTGAAAACAACATCAGGAGTGGCCATACTGACGCCAACCAAAAAATGGCGAATGGAAATTATTTGGATGAGTCTGCAAATAAGTCGCAAAAAAAAATTCACACACAAAAAAATTCCCCTATCCTGCCATAATTGCCTGCCTCTGACCAGCTAAACCATACTGCTGTGAGAAGTAAAACTGTATTCATTCCAAAAATTAATCTTTGGCAATACTGATATCTATGAAATTGTCAGAATAGTCAAAATGTATCAACAATGATTTATAGAATCTTAAGAGTATAAACCCTACTTATCATCAACCCACAGGCCCAGTGGAAATAATCAGAAAATGCTGGCTGCTGGATAAGGATTGATTTCACAGTTATCACACGAGGCAAAAATCAGAAGTGTAGTGACTTGCAAATTTGTAGAGGACTCACTACAGTAGGAATGGAATTTTGGTAGGGAGGTAGGGTGGGGGTGTATGTGTGTGTGTGTGTGTTTTGATGGTTGGGTTTAAAGGGAGATTGTGGATTGATGGGTGGAAGTGGGGTTAGAGTTAGGGTAGATATAAGTTGGGTGTCTACATGTGTAGCTGTTTGTGAAGAAATTGACAATAGGGTGTCAGTGTGTTTGTTTGTTCAAGCACAGTCTGTGTGTACCCCTGATTTATGTGGTTGTTCATATATGAACAAGAGCATGTTCCTATTTGAATAAGTATCAATGTACACTCACTAAAAAAAAGTATCTACTCTTTCTGACTTAATAAGGTGATATGACAACAAAAATAATTGGAAGTGCTGTGGGCTAGAGCCAATATTGGTATCCCTGACAGGGGTGTCACTGACCCCCAAGACTGTTTGCTCCCTCAAGATCTGGCTTGCCCTCTTCCAAGGCCACATTTTTTTTTTTACTTTTTTTACTGATTATATCTATATGGATCCAATTATAGCTTAAAAACACCCCTCAAATAGCTACTTTTTCTAAATGTTTGTTCACTTTGCTTGGCCAAATTAAAAAAAGTAAGGGTTTTGAAATGAATAATACTTTTAATATGATGATTGTGGGCGTGATCTTGAAGGGAAGTCTCTGCCCATGGCTGCCTAGACATTCTCAATGGGATTGAGATCTCGTGTTTTGGGTGAAAGTGGCACAACGTAATCTTAGGGTGTTACTGAAATCACGCCTTCATGACACTGCTCATGTGGATAGAATTATTATCCTGGATGAGGTAAAATGGCTCCATATCAAGGAATAGCCCTCACCAATGGTAGAAACTTGTCCAAGATTTCCAAATAAGTATACCCAGTAAATCTGCCAGGCCTGACATCCATCAACTTCCAGACCCCACTCTTGTGTATTGATTCAAACAGCCAAGTGGTTCTGATAGTCTGTGTTACAGCATAATGTGAAGTCCAGCCAGATATTGCCGGCAAAACAAAATGGGTCTGCATCCCTTGTAGTAGTTATGGACTGTTTAAAAAAATAAATAAATAAAAAATAAAAAGTAAAATAAATGAATAAGAAGAAAATGACTCATGGTAAAGAGACGTGACAGTATCAAATGGTTTTCATTAGCTCATGATATTCAATGCAAGCTTCCTATTTGTCTTTCATAGAGCATATTGATTTATAGTTTTGAATGATATTTACTTGATCTTCTTCCTCCGTCGTGCATCTAGGGGAGTTACTTCTGGTATCATCTCTAGTGAATCCAGTTACTTAGTGTCACTGAATCTAAAGACACAGCTGGCTTCAAAATAACTAATCTTCTTATTTTGACTCCTGATAGTCCCTCACAGTAATGCTTAATTATGAGGCTACAAATGGTCTATGAGTCTCCATTGCTCTTATTGCCATGATATGTGGTCCTTGCCATATCAATTCCGAAACACTACTCAAACACATTATGAAGCTTCATCTTTTCAAAGGATTGAAAACAACAAGTAATAACCATTCTGCTTCAACTCCTACCCATTGTTTTGGTTTCATCTACTCCTGGGTAAAGTTACTTCTCTTAGCGAGTGCACACTGGTATGTGCAAATTCATATGTAGATATGCTACCATAATAGTAAACCGTACTTACATGTCCACCCATAGATATGCCTGTGATGCCCAGGGGCCCAAAACCCATGCGTTCACACCAGTGGAAAATAGCTAGAGACTCTAGGACTAAACAGCCACCCATCACAAACAGGTCGGACACATTGTGAAGACTTGAGCGGCTGAAACAGTATATGATATCAGTATAAAGTCTAAAGAAAATAATCAAAAGGCAGTGAAATAAGAAATACTGATATATATATATAACAAAAAATCTTATAAAAACATCTCTCTCCCTGTGATGATTTATTTTTTTAATATGATTAAATAAATTATTTTAGAAAAAATATAAATCAGCAAAAATAACAAATAAAAACCTATTAGGGTCCTAAACAATTAGATATGAACACTATCAATGCTGAAAGAATCCCATTAACAAATACGCACAGCTGATCTTTGGGTTTCCTGATGCCGTAAAAAGGGTTTTCCAGCATGATTGATGCGATGCCTGACTCTTCAAGCAACGGT